CAGATAAAGTTTGGTATGCGATTTTTCAAGCGTAACTTGAAGACTTGGTTTTCAGTATCGATTAATGATGGGTTGAATTAAAATTGATTGCATGCAGTTCGATATTTTTTCATTGGCCAATCTTTTTAATTAAATGTATGTATCCGAAAGACAGCAGTTAAACAATCGAAAACAATTTTTGCTTTTCTCCACTAATTAGGATAATTATGGTTGGATTTCAATACAACTTCTAATTGAATTGTAATACTCACCTTTGCAAAAGAAAAAAATTCATTTTATACGCCATGGGGAGCTGTAACTTTTCAGCCACATCCACATATTGTTTGCATTGTTTTCATATGAAAAGCACACGTGTTCTCTGTGTTTTAAATGGCAACTGCCATGATTTTACACCCGCAAGTTTACCAGGAATTTGAAAGCAAAGAAAATCGCCAAAAAGTTCGCCATTTCATATAAGAGAAAACGTTTCGGAGTCCAGCTCCATCGTCAGTTATAACCTAGAACACAGGTACAAACAATTAGTAACCTAAAATTCACATTCAATAAAAATCATTTAAACTTGAGGACATTAGAACCAAAATCGAAAATAGAACAAGCATAAACAAGCTATTCCGGGTAAATTTGAGATTTAAGCAACCGAGTGATCTTAATACTCAAAAGTGCAAGTAATCAAACGATGATGTTTGAATACAACTTCATTTTCTGCGTTCATTTATTACTCAACACGTGACCTTCCAAGTGACAAGTTTTACGCATCGCAGTCTGCATTTCCGGGTTCTTTAAATTATTTTACAAAACAAATAAAAAATTAAGCTTGTGTCATCAATTTAGTAAGCTATATAATGTATATAATTCATAATCGCATATCAAGAGATGCATAGTACGCGAAACCCTTTACGTTTCAGAGGCGGTATGTTCGTTCCCAGGCGATATATCACTAAAAGAGATCAACAATTGCTTCAACTATAAATTCCTATAGTAAATATTTTGACCCAATTAACGTTGCAAACATTTTGATTTCTCTAGATCGAAAGCAAAAATTATGAATAATTAGTTTTAAAGTATTCATGATTCCATTAATACTGAAAAATAATCTCAAGTGCGCGATATGCACAAACATTTGAACATTCGTAAGCGCAAAATTCCTAAAAGAAATTTAAAACTTGCAAGAAATTCCAATTTTGTGCCTAATGGGAGAATTGCTGCAAAATTTTAAGGGTTTTATTGTATTAGGTTTTGGATTAACCAGAAGCTCCCCAGTTTTATTATAACAATAAATATTATATAAACTCTGTACTCAGGAAGCTCTGCGCAAAGAACAGANTAAGAGACAGGGAGACCATCACTGCAGGGAGCACGCAATGTCATTCGCCGCGACTGAGTTTCTATGCAGATTTTGTGGCACGCACTCCTCGACGCTGGATGCAATTTGCGTTTAAAATAGGTAAAACAATGCAATAGGTATAATAGTAGTAACGCAATAGATATAATGAGTATAGTACAACAAATATAGTAAAAGTGATGCAATAGGTATTATACAATAAGTCTTATAGGAGTATTCTTATAGGAGTATTGTAATGGATATAGTTGTAGTGACGCAATAGATATAATGAGTATAGTACAACAACTATATTAAAAGTGGTGCAATAGGTATAATAAAATAAGTCTTATAGGAGTACTGAAATAGGTTTAGTTGGAACAACGCAATAGATATAACGAGTATAGTACGATAGATATAATAAAAGTGACGCAATAGGTATAATAAAAGAAGTCTTATAGAAGTATTGTAATATGTATAGTTGGAGTAACGCAATAGATATAATGAGTATAAAACAATAGATATAATAAAAGTGATGCAATAGGAATAATAAAATAAATCTTATAGGAGTAATTCAACAGGTATAGTAGTAGTAACGCAATAGATATATCGAGTATAGTACAATAAATAGAATAAAGGTGATGTAATAGGTATATAATAAAATAAATCTTATAGGAGTAATTCAACAGGTATAGTAGTAGTAACGCAATAGATATATCGAGTATAGTACAATAAATAGAATAAAGGTGATGTAATAGGTATTATAAAATAAGTCTTATTGGAGCAATGCAATCGGTATAGTAGTAGTAACGCAATAGATATATCGAGTATAGTACAATAGATATAATAAAAGTGATGTAATAGGTATAAAAAATAAGTTTTATAGGAGTATTGCAATAGGTATAGTAGTAACGCAATAGATATACCGAGTATAGTACAATAGATAGAATAAAAGTGATGCAATAGGTATAGTTTGAGGAACGCAATAGATATAACGAGTATAGTACAATAGATATAATAGAAGTGATGCAATAGGTATAGTTTGAGATAATAAAATAAGTCTTATAGGAGTATTGTAATAGGTATAGTTGGAGTAACGCAATAGATATAACGAGTATAAAATAATAGATATAATAAAAGTGATGCAATAAGTATAAAAAATAAGTCTTATAGGAGTAATGCAATAGGTATAGTAGTAACGCAATAGATATACCGAGTATAGTAAAATAGATAGAATAAAAGTGATGCAATAGGTATAATAAAATAAGTCTTACAGGAGTAATGCAATAGGTATAGTAGTAGTAACACAATAGGTATTTCGAGTATAGTACAATAGATAGAATAAAAGTGATGTAATAGGTATAATAAAATAAGTTTTATAGGAGTACTGAAAAAGGTATAGTTGGAGTAACGCAATAGATACGTATAACGAGTATAGTACAATAGATATAATAGAAGTCATGCAATAGGTATAGTTGGAGGAACGCAATAGATATAATGAGTATAGTACAATAGATATAATAGAAGTGATGCAATAGGTATAGTTTGAGGAACGCAATAGATATACGAGTATAGTACAATAGATATAATAGAAGTCATGATGTATAACGGTTGTTCCGCTATACCTCGTGACGCAACAATTGCAATTCATTATTATTAGCGTTGCAAACATTCGCGCACAAGATGCAATTAATCCATATTAACTTATCGCCCACAGCTCGAGCAATGTCTTGTATTGTCATTTGCAATTTATAACTAAATGGAAACAACTTCATTAAAGGCAAATTATTCCATGGCATATATGTATGACACAGGTGTAATTTTGTATCATTATTGATTAACAGCCCATATTGCATATAAAAATTAATTATTGTTTGAATTAATGCTCATATATATGTAACACCAATTTTCAAGTACGTATTGTTGATTATCAACTATGATATTGTTTGTGATAAGTCACAAACAAACCAGGATTGGATTAAACGCGTAATGTGAAAAAATCCTATCTAAGAACAAACACATGAAGCTATTATATACAATATATTCAAATTTCGAAATGATCAACGTGTAATAAGAAAAAATATAATATCTAAGAACGAACACATGACGCATTTCTATATAATATATTCAAATTTTGACATGAATTCAAGTGGGCAATATCGTTTTTCCTGTAAAGAAACCTTGGCAGAGGAAATAAATAGACTCGTTGTCGAGAAAAGCTTTGCAAGGCGAAAGAGTTTATTCATTATTTATTTATTTATTTATTTAAGTTTAAGAATTCTGTACACTATAAAAGTGTACAGAAGTCGCCAGGGGAATTTATTTACAGCTGGCGAGTATAGGCCGGAGCTGGTCGTATTACAAGCGTGTTATTACACACCTACACACCCACAACTGGCCCTCACCGTCACTGCACCAACACACGGCCTGTTTGTTTAGTTACTGCACCAACACACGGAATGTTTGTTTAGTTACTGCACCAACACACGGCGTGTTTGTTTAGTTACTGCACCAACACACGGCCTGTTTGTTTAGTTGCTGCACCAACACACGGCCTGTTTGTTTAGTTACTGCACCAACACACAGCCTGTTTGTTTAGTTGCTGCACCAACACACACTCCTGTCAAATTCACCACTTTCATTACATCACTCCATTCACATTTATCAGATACATAGATTCATATCTTCACATCGCACATATTCACCATCTTTATTTTTTTTCACCACTCACCTTCACTTTCTCCATTGCTTCACTCACCTTCGTGAGTGATTACTTGATTCGTGTCTGTAATTATATTCATCATTTGTTGCGTATACATGTTATGCGTATGTGTACTTTGCACTTACTATCACTTCAATATTGCAGTTATTAATACTAATTGTTAATATTAATAACTCATTATTTATTTTTAAAATAACTTATTATTATTATTAATAATTGATATTTCTTACTAACAGTATTGATCATTTGATAACCTTAGATGTTGGATCCGTTATCTCTGTAAATATTTAACTGTTTCAACTATGGAAATTATGTATACTCGTGCGTGGCTCGGAGTAAGCTATGCAGTTCGTGTAAACCATAGATTTTATCTTCAAATAATTAACACGTTGACTTCGATTGCTTCGTCTTGGACTATTATTTCATTTTTTTAATATTATGAATTACCATTAAGTCATAAAGAAATACAGTTCGGAGTCAACGTGTTAATAAATAAACGTAACAAATTTGCCAAGCAAAATTTTTCATTATCAGAGAGACTGCTTTAGTTCAGTGAGGTCAACGAATCTATTCAACAACCTGGCTTCAAGGAACCTTGTTTATACAATCCAACAGCCTCGTAGAGACCACAAGTTTTGTTTCCACCACGTGCCTAGCTTGAGCGTATATGCGTAGTCTTAACCTGAGAGACAGGAAACTATGCAGTCAACACTCGGAAAAACGAGGGTTCCCATGAACCTTTTGTGTTTTTCATCCTGTACAATATTTTTCAAACAATCTTTATGAATATACAAACATTTGTCATACAATCTCTCCAAACAGGACGCAGCTACATTTACATAGACTCGATATGCTTGGTCGGCTCTCTTTATAATCTAATATTAAATTCAGATTTTTTTGCAATTAATAATTTTTTCCTCTAACGTGAAAGTCTAAGTATTCATATTTTTACTTTTTTAGGCTTCCTCCTACTTCTGTGCACCGTGGCAGTGGTTCAAGTTACATGCGACGCATCAATCGAAGGTGTAACATCAACTGTCGCTCCAACTGATGATGTAGACCGAGAATTGCACACTACAGCTGAAACTTCCGTTCATGAAGGAAGGATCGATACGGCAGAAGCTGCTACCGAAGTTTCAGCAAACGATCTTGCTGAAGAATCCGGTCAATCGCAAAATAACGTTACAAGTGGCAGGTCTCATGCAACAACTGATGACCAGAATACTCGTATATACACTAATTTAAGTGAAGAAGATGCCATAGGGACCAATTTTTCGGCTGGAGAATCATCTACTTTACCGTCAGAAATTTCACATGTTCCAGAATCCAGTGATTCAGCGTCATCAAGTTCTACTTCAACATCCACTCCTTTAACAACACCTGCAACAACTTCTAGTATCGTATCGTCATCATCATCAAACCCGACTGAACGAATCACAATAACAACAACTTCAACTCCGTTGATAACGCCGGTTCCGAATCATTCAACTTCATCACAGTCGCCAGCCATGAGCTCCGAATCGCCGTCTACAGCCACATCCTTGACAGGTGCAGACCAAACTTTGACGTCATCCTTACTTCCAGGCTCCTCCACTGAGCGAATGGAAATATCCACAGAGCCAATGGAATTATCCACTGAGCCACTGGAAGTATCCACTGAGTCGTATCAGCATACAGGTGATGAGCGGTCTCTGACGCACACAACTTCCGGAGCACCATCAGGAGATGCGGCAACGAGTGCGGCCAGTGCTGCAAATTCTTCCACTTCCACGACACTTCAATCAAACTACACAGATGAAATTTCTACTAACTATAGTCATCAAGCATCTAATTCCAGTGGAGGCGCAACTGAAGCCAGAATTTCAAGTCATCCAACATCGCCTAGTTATGCAGAATCATCCAGCGATAGTGTGACGCATATTCCTGAATTGATACCCAACGCAAATGGCACAAATGGTGGAAATGTAACAAGCTATGAAGGTGGCACGGATAATGTAAGTGACACGAACGACTATACTAGTCCAACAGACTTAGATGACACGAGAGCTGCAACTCTGAAGAAGTCAAACACTGAGGACTTCGGCAATTCAACGGCTACTCCACCTGCAGGCGAACGAGATGAGGTATGTGCAGTTATTTTTGAACACCGGGGCACAATATTATTTTTTATTTGTAGATGAGTTTATAGTGTCACAATGAGAAATTATATTATAATTACTGTGAAGAAAATATTTTCTTTGTATTAGGGTATGATTGATAATTCTAAATTCTTCTATAGTAGTGGATATTGTAATTCCAGAGAATGAATAAATATCACCGACTACTTAGTATACTTGCCGAAGAGAATAATGTAGCAAACTTGTCAAAAAGTTAGAATGGTGATAGATTATTATTATAATGCAAAATAAAGTCAAAAAATCAATTTACTTTTTCATGATACTAAGCCAAAGGTAAGCTTCAATCTTACACCGTCACTGTTTCTTAAGATCAGCTTTTCAGAGTTTTCTGATCGTTTAACCCTAAATGAATTTTAAAAATATGTAGAAAATGTTACGAACTTTCTCAAACATGTCACGTTTGCAAGAATTTCAAAATCGACTCGTATCGTATTTGAAACACATTTCCCAACGGTGATACACAATTCCTTGCTTCACTCAACAGAAAGTAACGGCAGATAACAATGACGCACTCGCTCATCATTTCTTCGCCGTAACCGTGACCTCAGCGTTCGTGATCAACGCAGCGTTCTTCTTATTAACGTTGTTCTGTGTCTACAAGATCGTCAAGCGATACCACACTCGATCCTGGAGTCCGCAGCCCGTTAAATACCAGGCGGTAGGATCTTATATCGCCCATATTTATTCTTCTTCATCTATTGTTCATTCATCAAAATTCAAATTGACAGATTTAGCTATAAGCCCTAAAATAACATTTTATAAATTCACCCTGATGGAACAATTGCATTATAGATGACTTGATAATAAAAAAATGTAACTCAGTACTCACTGCAGTGAGTGACAGAGAGCGCATTTTCTCGTCGACGAAAACTTGAGGTCACGGACAGACGGACGGACAGACGGACAGACAGACAGACAGACGGACATGGCGAGCACAATAGTGCATTTTTTCCATAAATGAGAAAATGCGCTAAAAATGAGTAAATTTGTGAAATATATCTCTCTAGATATTAATGATCACGAACAATCAGATGAAACTATTGTACGATGTTTTAATGTAGAGGTTTTGTGATTCAGATTAATAAATTATAATTCGAAAGTTAAGAGTTCTACATTGTTAAAATTGACAGAATTAACTCGTAATGCTCGACCTTAACAAGACTTTGCAATAAACTTTAACGCAAATGAACCTCGATACTCTGAAGATAAGTCTGTCTTTCAAAAAGATTCATCATGAGTATCCGAGCGCAGGAGTTTACCAAATGTTAAACTTTCGTCAGGTTGACTATGGTATATCGATGGGCAGACAGAACATGGGCTTGGATCTTTCCCCAGAAACCCACGGTGGCGTGCCAGCTCCACCAAAGGAAACTCACCACAAGGATACGCCTAAAGGATACAAGGATACGCCTAAAGTTCCTATAACGATCACCAACGAGGATGGTTGGTGCGTTCCGTACGCGGACGACATCAACGACAATAATTCCAACGCTGGTCCTGCTGATCGTAACAGCCATCAGATGCACGAGATGAACAATGAGCAACGAGGACGAGCACACTAAATGAACTTAACAAAAACTCTGCATTTATATGGTCTATGTGTGGTCATATCATTATTAAGGGAAATGAAGTTTCAGGTCTTAACATAAATAATATGTCGAGAAATGTTACCACAAGAATCCCCATAAGGTTATGGTCGTATTGATGCTAGAAATGCGGTCACTTTTCTTCTTAACACTCAGTTCTTTTACAGTAGGTATGACACAATTTTTTACAGTAAATATGATGGAATAATCTTTTAAATTACGATACATCATGTAAAAATATCATTAATCTTTAGGGCAATATAATTTTTGTAAAATTTTAACGTTTGAACGGTGCGATGTAACATTTCCAACATAATCTTCTGTTGACGAAGCGTTATAATTGAATACAGCCCATGAGGCAAATTTTAATCGTAAACAACATTTCAATTGGAATTGGAACAAGAACAACATTCCAATTGTGTATTAATAGGACGGGTGCAATTGGTGAGGTACAGAATGTACCCCACACTGCAGACGCTGCTGTGTGCATCTTGTAATTACATCACGCAATTCAAAATTATGATGCAAATATTAAATCATCATTGATAAGGAGCTTATGTCCACTATACATTGTGTGATTCAAAAATTAATTTATCGCTAATTAATGGTGAAAACGATGTTTATACGAGCTTTTTTCATAGTTTTCGCTAAAAATGGCACGCCTAAATATATATAAAATTGCCGTCCTCACATTCACGCAATACGATATCATACTACGATATTTTCATATTGATTTCACCATCAACAACGCAGGTGTGAGAATAATATCTTGCGCATGGAACTATCAGCATTTCCAAGAAATCTTCTGCTGTTAACAACTGCTAAAAAATAATCCAGATATTCGGAAAAAATAGTAAAAGTTACGTAGATGTAATCTGACTAAAAACGTTAAAAAATGAGTAGTAAATCAAGGCAATTAGCCTGGCTAAACAAAAAGTAGGCGGTAAGGTAGACTTCATTTAAAAGATTTTCCATTAAATTAGCTGATTATAAATAACATTAATGCTATACATTTGCATCGTAAATAACCCAAGTGATTTTGAGAAATAATCTTCGCTGGACGAGTTTTCAAACAACTGCAGAGATTCAAGCACAGCAGCACCAACTACTGTATGCAACTAATAATGGAAATTAAAGAAAAAATTAATATATATGTATATATGATGTTACAGGACGTTCATTTAATAATATGCAAAAATAAGGGTTCAATTGATGATGAAATATTAAAGCAATTAATATGTCAGGGATTTATTAAAGTTACCTAACCCGCTCCGCTGCGAAAGAACTGTAAGCCGCAATTACATGTGCAAAATTTAACATGATAATGTTAAATTTTGTACACTTTTTTTGTTTAAATTTAAATGTCCCTGACCACTGTAGAGCAGTTTGTTCAATAATGGAACATATTAATAATGATGATAGTTTCGTAACCTAAGCTACCAAGCTTCGTGCACTGTTAACCTGCTAGTGCATTAAAAGCAGCTTCTAATCGATGTACTTGTTCTATTATTAATTTAATAGTCCTGCATGAATTATTTGAGGATCTATTGTTCCAGGAAGCAAGGAAGCAGTGGCTTGAAGATTTAACAATAAATATTGCTTATAAGATTTATTTTACAGGGTTTCAATCACTAATTAAATTGTTGCCTCTTATGAAGGTTAATGAAATTGGGCATTGTCCTTGACAATGCAAATCCATATCGGTGATCAAATAAGATATTCCGTATTTAATTCATTTTGATTCATGAATAGAAAATTTTATTCATAACTCCTAGTTTTTCATTATTAATTTACATTAATGTTTAAATATATACGCGACCTTCAAGGACGCGTATAAATTCGTATAAATTCAAAGGCGTATAAATTAAAATTGCGTAATATTTAACAGCGACACAGTAAGCTGTCCTAAGATGCAACATATGCACTGTGTTATCTGAATATATTGAGTATTTTTATATGATATGTTTGTGTGATGAATCTAATACCGTCGAAAATACACTAAACTTTAGATCTGTGATTAATATTTGGGATAAAATCTACAGAGTGGTTTGATATGCTAAGGAGAGAAAAATAAAAAGCGGTTGAAAATTTTTCTACTTAATGATCTGTAGGTTCAATGAAAAAAAAATTTTTAATTCGTTTGTAAATAGTTCATATTGTTGACCATAAAAAAATTATGATAAATGCTTTTAATCATAAGACATAATAATAAATTTCACTTCTTGTACTTAATATCGCTGGATAAGAAATTTGATTATAAATCTGTATGTTTCACGAATTGTATTGTACGTAACGACAAGCTAGAGTTTAGAACCTATTTCATGGATTCGAAAATTCATAAATACGGCATTGATGGTGAGATGTGTCTGTTCATGAAATAAATAAACGAATCAAAGCAACGTATTTCAACCCTGAGACAATTAGGTACTTTAAAATTCTAAATAAAGTGATAACTATATAATAAATATAAAGTTGATTGAGGAGTCTTATTCTTCAGCGCGCCTGACAATGAAGAAGTCAACAGCCATGCACTATCATTGGAATATTGATTTTTATTATTAATATTGACTGATCACGATGCCGAATTTGAAGTCACTATTAAAAATTAAAAATTAAATTAATTATGAAAATTAATTATAAATTAAAAATAAAGTAGCAGGCGATTAGGTGATTTACGAAAACTCTTCATTCTCGACAGTTAGGATAGAGGCAAGAGGAATAAACAACTGTTCCGTTACACTGGAATTTATTTTAGTAATCGCTAATAACCGACAATTAGTGTTTATAAAATAAATGATAACCGATAATAAGTGTTAAAATATTCAGTGTCGGTGGAAAAAGGAAGGCAGAGCCAAAATTTTTGGTATACGAACATAAATAATTTAAATCATGGCATTGAAAAGCAGCGGTAACTGCGTTGCGTTTGAAGTTCGCGTGAGGATCACAGCTAATTTATGGCTCTGCCGTCGATATCGCAGCACGCCACCTCAACTGCCTGCTGCTTGAAAATAAAATCTTTGTTTACTTGAACATTTAAAAATAAAAATTCCACGTGGTTTTATCTATTAGAATAGAATAGAAGTGTCGGCGCTGAAGAAATAGGCCCATGGCCTGTTGCCGATTCTTGAACTTTTCGTGACTTGATTCACAAGGGATCCGGCCTTTGGAACCCGATCTTTCCTTAACTGACGATTGATTGACATAGCTGCTGGACTTATTGCCTGGTCCGTAATTTGCTAGGCATTTTAAGACTGAACATATGCTCCTGCATAGCTTCTGCTATCAATAATAATAATAATGATTGATGATAATCTTTGTTTTAAAACTAGCTCCCATTGATATGTAGCACAATTGGTACGGTAATATAAAATGCGATGAATTGTTATATACATATGGATTTGATTCTAACTTTGTAAGGCGACCTGATAGTTAGCAACTATCAAAAATAAAATAACTCTTATATGCAATTTCCTATCTCTAGGTATTTTTATGCACAAAAATATTTGACAATGCTTGTGATGCTATAATCTTCCAATATGTCCCTTGCAAAAATTTCCAAGGGTCCGTATTATTTAACGGCATATCTAAAATGATGTGTCTCTACAATTATGAAGAGTCTTATAACCGTGTTCTTAGACGCACGAAAACTCTATCATTAAATGGTAAATGATGAATTTACTAGTTTAATGCCAAGCCTTTTCTTTGTTGTCGATAAAAAGCTCGACGATTGAAGGACACATACAAGGTTTTCCAATCATCAAGCGCTTCTTCCGGGAACAGAACAAATACTTTCGACCGGAAAAAAGAGAGTCGTTGACTACGAAGAGAGTCTTTACTTTCTTTGGAACTCAGAGAGGTTATTTTTCAGTAGCTTAACTTGACGTTTTTGACTCGGAGCAAACTCAAAATTCAAATATCTGAATTCATGTGGCAAATTCAAATATCTGAATTCAAAAGCTTCTTAATTCCTGAAGTTATGATTTGAATAGGTGAGAATATTCAAAGGGCAATTGTTCCTGCAGGTTTAAAGTGCATGAAAGGATTATTACTATAATGTCTTGAATTAATGTCTTAGAAATATGTAGATGTTGCCCGTTATCCAGGAAAATGAATAGTTTTTCCCGGTTCAATGAATATTTTTACAGACGCATTGCAGCAGAGAATTTGTCGCATAGACGAACGCGTGGACGTGTTCGTGAACAAGTTAAACATTCACGATCAATACTGTTAAAAATTGTTATAAATAATAAAAGTATGAGCTTATTTTTTGAGTTATTTAAGAGTGAGCTCCTGATTGTGCACGCTTCATAAAATCTTCTTCATATGGTTTCTCATTCACGCCATAACATGGATATTACATTATTTGATATCGCATTTTGTGTGTTTTTATAAGCTATCTACACTGCGTAAAAAATATGTAAGATATATAGCAACCAATAATTCATATACTAATGGAAAACAGTTATGGACATGACAAAAAACTGGACATGACAAAAAACTTATTCACAAAAAACAGTTATGGACATGACAAAATTCGTTAGTGTCATAGTTAGTTATTATCATATTTCCACTTAAATAAATGAGTTATTCTCTTTCTTTTACAAATACCTGTTCCACTGTAGCTATGAGGACTATATTACATTTTAGATAATAACCTCGCTAGTGCACTGCAATAAACAGATAAACTGCAATTAACAGATAACAGATAATTAACAGATAGATAATGAAGCACGGCCGCATTCAAGCGTAATGTTATACCGAGTGCGATTTTCTGGCACGTTAGTAAGCTGAATGACATATATTATTTGATATCAAGTGAGAAATAATGATTATATTTCTCATTGTTATCACAAGCCTTCGTGAGTTGCAGTTAGAATTGGTGAGTTGCAGTTAGAATTCGTGAGCTGAACTCAGAATTCGTGAGTTGCAGTTGGAATTCGTGTGTTACAGTTAGAATTTGTGAGCTGAAAGTTGAATTCGTGAGTTGCAGTTAGAATTCGTGAGTTGCAGTTGGAGTTCGTGTGTTGCAGTTAGCCACGCCGTACAGTCAGGAGCCAAAGTCATGCCACACAGCTCACCGTATTTAGGCCGGCCGTGGCTTAGGCCAGATTCTTTTAAAGGTGGCACAGCGCCAAGAGGCCTATATGCCGGCACCGGCATCGCAGGGCCTCTTAAATAAAATAGGTTCCCCTAGATTCCCCTGGAAATAACTGTTAAAAATAAGGTTCTCAGTGAAAATATTCTTGCAAGAACCTTATTTCTAACAGTTATTTCCAGGGGAACCATATTTTTTGAGAATTAAATAAGGAATATATTTAGGCCGACTGTGGCCGTGGCCAGATTCTTTTAAAGGTGGCACTACGCCAAGAGGCCCATGCCGGCACCGGCATCGAACAAGTGCAGCGCTGCAGGGAATTGTGTTCCGCAGACCCGCCTCGTCTTCCCGCTTGTAGCCAACAGCCACCGACTCTGCGGGGGTGAAGATTATTGAACGCGGCCACCGCCACGGTCAGGGCCATCCGCAGTAGCGATCTACGGTGCAAGCTCGGTGTCATCCGCACTAGTGATCTACAGTGCAAGCTCGGTGTCATCCGCAGTGGTGATCTACAGTGCAAGCTCGGTGTCATCCGCAGTAGTGAACTACAGTACAAGCTCGGTGTCATCCGCAGTAGTGATCTACGGTGCAAGCTCGGTGTCATCCGCAGTAGTGATCTACGGTGCAAGCTCGGTATCATCCGCAGTAGCGATCTACAGTGCAAGCTCGGTGTCATCCGCAGTAGTGATCTACAGTGCAAGCTCGGTGTCATCCGCAGTAGTGATCTACAGTGCAAGCTCGATGTCATCCGCAGTAGTGATCTACAGTGCAAGCTCGGTGTCATCCGCAGTATAGTGATCTACAGTGCAAGCTCGGTGTCATCCGTAGTAGTGATATACAGTGCAAGCTCGGTGTCATCCGTAGTAGTGATATACAGTGCAAGCTCGGTGTCATCCGCAGTAGTGATCTACAGTGCAAGATCGATGAAGGGCATTTATTTAGTTATTTTATATATCTCTGCTCTGCAATGAGGCAGTTTACTATTATCGATAATATAAATTTAAATGTATAGACATATATTTTGAGTTTCTAAATTCTCTGCAAAGGCTTGAGATCGCTCGCGTTGATCCATAGTGT